CACTTACTTTCACGCAAGCGCGTGCATTTCACTTTCAAAGCATTTGTTTTTTCCTTTTGCTATACTTTTTACCACTGTCAAAAAATAGTTTCTGATTATTTATTTAATATATTGGTTTGAATATCAGCTGTCCAATGAACTATCGTCCTATGAATCCAGAAAAATTTTTCAGTAAAGCATCAATCCATTAAACAAATATATATCCGATTAATATATTTCAATTGAGGCACACCAATACATAATTTAGTGCTAAGTATATATACAATCTGATAATAGATTAAAAAAAATTTGAATTATAACTCAGTTGACAACACAAACTAAGTGTGTAGAAAGAGTTATAGGATTTTATTCCACTAAACACTTAGAGAGAGGGGTAAATAGCCTTAAATGTAATTAAACTCTGAGTCGGATTAAGTGGTCCTTATAATAAAGTCTGGATACCGATGGTTAAAAAACATATTTCGATTGAGGTATGAGATATTTTTAAAAACTAATTTTTCGAATGATTTTACACAACGAAAGCAAATATGGTTTAATTAATATATATAATTTTTTATTGTTTTTATTAGAAATTATATTATTATGAACCGTTTTTATCACTAAAATATAATAACATTCACAAAATAAAAAAAAATATTTTATGAAAATAATAAAATAAAAATTTCAATAATTAAATACCTTGTTACGAAAATAATATATTTATAATCCTAAAATATTATTATAATTTTCGTAACTAAATTTTTCATGAAAATAAAATTATTTATCAATCATTTAAATTGTCTTATAACAATTTAAACTTAATTAACTAAACTTTTTATATATAATATAATAATATAAATTGTCTATATTACCAAAATATGGAAAACGGATGTTAGCTATTATAATAATTAATGTATGAATTATTTTTTAGTCATTTATAATTTTGGTGTTTTTTTCTTAATTTTTGCTACATGTAATTAATACTATGGTTGCTCTTTTTAGAAAAAAATCTTTCAATATGTTACATGGTTTTCTAATACAACGTGCTATACCGTAATTTTATATTTTATATATACTTTCTAGTGAGTTTTATTTTCTATTTTATATCAAACAATAAATTTTATTCTAATACAAGACGTGCTTATAAAAGGCCGTAATTTATATTTTTATTAATACTTTCTAGTGAGTTTTATTTTCTATTTTATAATAAATAAATTTTATAATATATTCCTTTAATATAATAATAATAAATTTTATTTTAAAAAAATAAATTACTTTTAGAAAAATAAATTATAATCAATTTAAAATTAAAAATTAATTAAAAATAATAATTAAAAATATAATTAATTCTTACCAAATTCTTTTAAATATGTATCTTATATATGACATAATATAATCAATCAAAAATTAAATTATTTTTTATTTTTTGAAACTAATAAAATTTAAACTCCTTACTGATTTAAATTATAACTGATAATTTTTACCAATATGTAATATATTTAAATATAATATATATTAAATTTCTATTTTTTAAAAATATAATAATATAATTTCTTAATTTTACAAATAAAATTTGAACTTAAATAGAAAAATTATTATAATTAATCAATATTATATTCTTACCATTTTTAATATGTATCTTATATAGAATAATATAATCAATCAAAATTAAATTATTTTTATTTTTTGAACTAATAAAATTAAACTCCTTAAATATATGATATTTTTACCATATGTAATATATTTAATATATAATATAATTTCTATTTTTTAAAAAATATATAATATAATTTCTTAATTTACAAATAAAATTTGAACTTAAATAGAAAATTAATATAATTAATCAAATTAAATTATATTGATTTTTTAACCAATAAAATTAAATTCCTTAAATGTATTATATTCTTATTATATTTAATATATATCTTATATAGTAGTATATAATTTAGTTTTTTTATTTTATCCAATAGAATTTAGATTTAAATATGAAATTAATATGACCAATCAAAATTAGATTATTTTTATTTTTTCAATCAATCAAATTAAAATTCATTTTTTGGTCTTCCACAAATTTAGTATGATGTTTTCCAAATGTTCTGCATATCCATCCCACTTTTCTATATTTTTTTTAATGACGTGCGTTATATGTTGACTATACTCGTTATATACTCATTTTTTTACTCTTTTGATTTTTTTATTTTTATAATATTAAAGCACAAGTTTAGATTAAAATAAATACAATTGATTAATTTGTATTACTTTTTCTTACAAACTATTTGTAATGCTACTTTTTATGTACTTAATTCTATTTTTATATAATGAATTGATATCAAAATAATGTCCAACTCAATCCCTAGACCTAATCCTTCAATCCCTAGTTTATAAATGCAGATTCTTAAAATCTTAATAGATGTCCAAAAAGAAAATAAAGCCATCACACAATTTTTCAACCCCAAATCAATATCTATATACAATTATAATGAGTAATAATAACAAATCAGTATTTGTTACCCAATGCATCAAAGAAATGAATATATGCACATACAATCAAATTCTTGAAACCGCATAAAATGATCCAAAATAAAAATATATAGTTATAATCTTTTTCAATTTCATAGATACTATTTTCTTTTAAGTCAAACAAATTTAAAATATAAGAAAAAATATCAAAAAAATTAAAAATATTTAATTACCAAGATACCATCTATTTATTGCAAGTGAGAAATAAATTTATTACTAAATTAAAGTGATAGCAGTTACAAATTAATTCAATAATAAAAAAAATAAAAAATTATAATTATAATTAAGAAGAAAAACTTTTCAGAACTTAAAATGTAATAAGAAACAAAATATATTAAAAAAATTATCAATTTGAATTCCTTCTTATTTCCACATTTATATATAGTATAGATATAAACTAGTCTTTTTATGACATGCATTATACGTTGACTGTACTCATTATTCGTATTCGTTTAATTTTCTATGTCATTCCTCACTTTTACTTGTTATTTATACATATTTTTTATTTTTAATATTAAATATTGATTATAATTTTATTGCATATTATTTAGATTTTTATAATAAAAATAAATTTTCATATAAGATTAATGTGAATATAACGGTTAAGTAACAAAATATGAATATATATATATACACTTCAGTTTAATTTATATCATCATTTATCTAAAAGATTTATAATATCACATAAAAACTGTATATGTACAATTCTACGATATCACCTAATAAATACATTTCAATATATATAGATATATAGATTTAAAATATAATATTATATATATTTTTAAATTAAAATTTTTAACTGTTCATCACCGACACATTATACAAACTTAAAGACAAAAAGAATGTTACAAAAGAATATATTTTTTTCTTTTTTATCTTTCTCCTAAATAAAACATTTTAAATAATAAAAAATATAATCAAATATTTAAAAATAAATTTGAAAAGTAAAATATAAAAAATTTCAAATGTCTCTTTATCATATATATTTATTAAAAAACAAATTTAAAAAATATAGAACTTAAAATTTTAAAATGCTTAATTATCCATATATATTTTTTAAAAATAATTTTAATAAATTATATTAAATCAATCAATATAATATAATATTTTAATTGATTACTACTAAAGTTATCTCGTTTTCATATTTATACTATTTAATATTCTAGGTAAATTTATAATATTAGTGGGTGAAGTGACCTCACTTGCATTATAATGGATCCACCCGTCTATTTCCATTCAAAATGGATACCCATACTATTAATTTTTTTTAAAAGAAAATTATAATTAATATACATAAAATTCATTTAAAGAATAATTTAAATAATATCAAAAAATTTAAACCATCCCCACAACCTCAAAATATTAAAATTTTATTCATAGAAAACAAGTTTTCATTATATATATATACACACACACTTTATAACTCCTTATTTATAATAAATTATAATTATAATATATGTAAATTATAAGAAGTTATTTATGTAGAATTTATCAATATTTAATTAACTTGAATCAAATAAAAATAATAGATATTACATATATATTAAATTGATTAAATTAAAGGACTAAAACGTAGAAATATGAGGAACACAATCCAAAAATATCTTGCTTGTTAGAGATGAAGAAAAAGGTCGTTAAAGCAATATCATCTCTCTAACTACAAACACCAACAACAACAAAGTGAAAAAAGCTTATTAAAATAATCGTTTGTTTACTTGTTAGTTTTTTAAAAATTAATAATTTTTAAAATCTTCATACTACCGTACGTAAAAGAAATAATTTTGAAAAATTAAAATATTTTATTGTATAACATATTTCATGCCAACGTAATTCATTTTATAATTTATAAACATTTTATCGAATTGATTTGATTCATGAATAATCTAATTGGATTATATTTTTTGGTATTTATAAAATTTATTTTAAATCGTTTATTTTATTTTCTCAGCTTGAGTGTAGTAATTTTATTAAATTCAGCATCATTGAATAAAAATTCCACTAAATTATCAAATATTAATCTAAAATACAATTTTTATAGCATGATTGGAAGTTAAATAGAAAAAACAAATTTGAAAAATTTTAGGTCAGAAGAGTTTTCTTATTTAATAATCCAACAGAGAAAGAAAATAGAAAAAACAAAATAGAAAAGACTGAACAACCCCTTGAATCGGGCGGTTTGAACGTTAAAGTAACGCGCAACGTACGAGCGTGGGACCATTTAAAGGTATAATGTTGACGTTACAGCGTAGGTAGATAGTGGGGTTATTGGAATAAAGATCTAGCGCCTAAAATACCTTTGAACACCCCATAACCCTCAACATCTATCTAACTACAAAAACGCCCCTCCAACAACATACTGAAATACCGACTTATAACATTCACAATGGCATACATCGTAATTAAACGAAAAAATAATGGTAAATAGAAATAAAATTATTTAAACTAGAGATGCAGGTATTTTTTAGCCAATGGATTCATTTGCACGGATTGTTTGATACCTGCCGTTGTTTAGAGCCTTCTCTCTCTCTCTTTCTTTAAAAGAAATTGATTTTTGCTATAAAAGATGGCAATTTCCTTACAGCACTAACTCATCTTTTAAACCTCAAACCCCTCTCCTCTTTCTTGAGAAGTGAAAGAAAGAGAAAGAAAAGCAAAACCCAGAATCAAGAATTAAGAATAGTTGGAAAACAAGAGTTATGGACTCAATCACGGGAATTAGAAGACCTTGTTTTATTGAGGAAGATGATGGTTTAGCTTCTTTAGCAGATATGGAAGCTGGATTTTCAGGGAACCAGAACCAGAATCAAAACCAGAAACATCAACATCCATTTTTTACAAGGTCACTTTGTTGTTATGGAAGGAGAGGTAGTTTTAAAAATTTACCGTCTCTTACTTCTTTTTCTCCAAGATCTGGGAGGTTTTACGATGCAAGATTTGAAGATCATCAACCTCATTTCCTGGAATCTTGTTTTCTTTGCAAGAAACCATTGGGTGATAACAGAGATATCTTTATGTACAGGTAATTTCTTTTTCTTTTTCTTTTTTTTTTCTTTCTCAATTTTGTTCAAACTGTCTTGTTTTTATTTCGAAAAAAAGGAGAACTAAAATTTAATTTGAAAACAAAAATGGCAGTTAATGGATTTTCTAAAAGATTGTGTTTTTATGGTCCTAGATGTCGAATATAGTTAAAAACATGATTAGGTTTTGGAATTTCAATTGTTTAAATTTGGGGAAAAATAAAATCAAGAAGTAAAGTTTTCATCTTTGGCTTATTTTATATTAGTGGTTGTAAATTAGGTAAAATCAAGATGTGCAAGTGAGGGTTTTAATTACTTTTTCTTTTTCAATTTATAAATAAAATTTTGAGATTTCATATCCATATATATGGGGGGAATAGATTTTGATGTGTAATTTTGAAATTTGTTCATGCAGAGGGGATACTCCATTTTGTAGTGAAGAGTGCAGGCAAGAACAAATAGAGATAGATGAAGCTGAAGACAAGAACAGGAACCTTTCTTCTTCAATGAAAGCATTGAGAAAGAAAGAGCAGAAGAAATCTTCTGTTTCTCCTACCAAAGCCCAGAACTATCCTTCTCGTACAGGCACTGTAGCCGCAGCTTAATTACTGAAATGAATAATAATAATAATAATAACCTAAAAGAATTATATATAAATATATACAAAGGTTATAGTATTATTTCCTTAAAGAAGGAAAAAAAAAAAAAAAAAAAATAAAAAAGGGAAAAAATTTAAAAATATATAAATATATACAAAGGTTAATAGTATTGGATTTCCTTAAAAGAAGGAAAAAAAAAAAAAAAAAAAAAAAAGAAAAAGAAAAGCTACTAATATACAAAGAACTGTGACTGTAAGGTCCAACTAGAGAGCTGGAGGAGAACAAGAAGAGTAGAAGACCCATTTTTGAGGAATTTCTTTTGCTTGTCTTTATTTTTATGAGGTTGTTTTTCTACCTTCTATGAATGTGTTTTATATATATATATATGAGGAGTGTCTGTGTGTGTGGCTTGTTGTTGGATCTGCTCCATTATATGATATGGGTTCTCTCTTTATTTTTATTAGTTTCTTAGCCCTTGGATTTAATGGGTTCTTTGTAAAGTATTCTGCTACTGATGTTTAAACCAAGAATGATCGCAAGGAAATTTCTTAGTTCCCATTGTCAGTCTGAATATTTTTTTTTCTACCTTTTTAACTTCTCTTCTCCAGTTTCTTTACCGACTTTTAGTTTATTAGAGTTTTGTGACTTTTTGAGTTGATTGTGAGAGAAGGTTCAAGAAGAGATGAGAGTTTCCTGGCAAGCAGCAAGCAAATGGGCTGTGAAGTAACTATTTAGCTAACTCTTCATAAACGCTTCCGTATTTTCACTGACTGAAAATAATAATTAGTTTATATATGAGACTTTGACTCTATTAAAAGCGATTTGAATGGTGTTTAGAGTTTTGATTAAGTTAAAAATATTATTTTAATTAATTATTATGTTTAATATTAATTATTGTAGCCAGTAATCTGGTTTATAATTTAAAGCAGAGTTTCATAAAACGATATTCTCATTAAAATTTAATATTTTATAAATTTTTTATTAACCTTATGCTTATTATTTATTTTTGTTTCGTTTGCTATTATTTTATTTTATTTTATCTTTTTATAGTAAATAACTAATCAAATATTCATTGTTGTCAAATACTTTTATTTCAAACCGTAGTCTTATAAATAAAACCGCAGTAGTATAAATAATTAACTATTAACAGTTAATATCCAACTGACAATAGCTGGTAGTTACTGTAATAATTAACATCTACTGGAACTGTTGAAATTTCCGAATAGGACTTATGGCCGTGTTCGGCAACAACTCTTTAATTAGGCAGTCAAAATGTTAAATGTTATTTTTTACAGTGTTCGATAATATAACTGTTAGTCAAAAATTTAACAATGTCTGGTAACATAACTTTTGAGCTAGCTTTTAAAGGTGAAAAGTGTTTTATAAAAAATTAACTTATAAAAAATTAACTTATGTTACATGTAATTTTTAATTTTTATGAAAAAATTACTCAAATAACTAACATGTAAACACCGTTAAAACAACAACAGCTACTGGTATGTAACAAATTTCCTGCAAAGATTCTATAAAATTTTGGTGGGATGATTATAAATTGGGTGGGTGGGTTACAAATTTAAATTTTCCTGTTTAGAATGCCAAAGTTTAGAAAATTTTTTTATTTTTAATAATTTGAAAATAATTAATTTAGTTAAATTTTTTGAATAGGTACAATTTTCAAAATGAATTTTGAAAGATTTATAATAAAAATATTTATTTTATTAGGCGTTTTTCAAAAAAAAAAAAATATAGGATTAATTTTGAATTACGTTCTAAATATGAAAAATTTGTGTACAATAAATTATATCTACAAACCATAAAATTTCTTACTAAATACAATGACCTAAAATAAAATAAAATAATTTATTTCATTAAAATTGATACAGAATAATTTTCATTTCATTGTCAAATTTTCCCAGGGTCTAATATTTTATCCAATTGATTTTAAAAAATAATCAAAATTAATTTTGGTTTCTCGATGGGCGTGGAGGTAAATAAGTAAAATAATTAGTGACTTAATTATTTTTCAGATTAAACATATGTATAAATATTAATTACTTATTTCAATTAATAAATTAATAAATTTAACTGGTTCAAAAAATTAATTTTTGATTAAATTATACATGATCATAATTGTCCAAAGGACAAATGAAATACTATTCTATTTGCACAACAGTTGAAAATTTAATATAAATAAAATTATATATGGTTGTAATAAATTAAATATTATTCCTATTTTGACAATAGAGTATTAGATATTTTGCTTCAATATGGCACAAAGCTGTCCAAGCACATGTAGAGAATTAGCTCTTTCCCATCATAAATGCCCACTTGTTAAATAGCATGTATGATTTTGTGTTTTCACTAAGTACGCGTTAATCATTAGTGAAAATGGGAGTTAGAAAATAATCCTATTAAATTTATAAATCGATAAAAATATCTTTAAAGATTTTAATTTTATTAGGTTGAAAAATAAATTTTGATTTGATTAGTTATATTAGTATTTTATTTAAATCTAAATGAAAAAAATAATAAATTTTTTCTAGGGTGCAAAATAATTATAAAATAATTATAAATTTAATAAAGTGAAAAATTTTATAAAATCCCTTATTGAGAAGTTTGATACTAATTTTAAATTACATTTCTTTCGCTATTAGTGACTTTTTTTTTTTTTACTTTTATAAAGGCTGGTGGTGTAATATTGAAGCAGATTAAGCTTTCATACCATATTATAGAATTGATTCGACCTAATTCACTCTCCAAAAGCTAGCTCAAAAGAAGGAGAATTGTCCATATCTTATATTTTAAATAAAGATTTTGTCCCAAATCAATGTGGAATAACATTATTGATTATCAACTGTAATTGTATTATCGGCTTAATTTCACCTGATATAGATATTATCACGGCGCCGTATTTCAATTTCAATTTGTAAAAGTAAAATTCCTAAATATCTATTTGTATAACAGTAAAATGAATTCGACCTGATTTCCAGTGAGGCAACGTTGTAAAGTTGATGTGGATGTCCAGATCAGCTTAGTTTTTTTTTTTTAGTATGTCCATGTGTGTCACGTAAGCTGTGAATCTTTTTTAACTGAAATTGTCTCTCTCTCTCTTAAATTTTTATCAAATTTTATGGACTGCAGTCAATAAATCTTTATCAAATTTCCTAAATTTTAGGTTATATTTATTTATAAAATACTATAATCTTAAATATAGTGATTGATATATTAAATATTTAATTTGTATCCACCCACATAAATTGATTAAACTTTATTTTTATTTGCAATTACTATAGTTTGTTTTTAAATAAAAAATTATTTTTTTCTATAGAAAAATTTATTATTATTATTATTATTATTATGATTGAGTAAATATTTTCTTATTCTATAATAAATTAAATTTACAAATTATTATATGACTTTTAAATTTTTGAATTTATGGATATTTTTCTTCAAATTTTATAAAAAAGAAAATGAATGGGAAGAAAATCAAACTATAATAAATATTTTATCTAATTATCAATTATTTTGTAATTTTATTTTTAGTTTATAGTGTCAATTAATTTTTACTGAAAATTAAAGTTAACATCATTCTTAATAAATAATAAAAAATTATAAATTAAATAACGAGTATGTACAATTACGAGTATGTGCAACATGCCTTCATAAATACTAGTTTATAAAATTGATAAAAAAAGATAATTTAATCAATTACTAGAATTAAGATTGTTTGATGAGTTTTTTTTATTTATAATTTTTATATAATTACCTTACACGATATTTATATAATTTAATCATTCAAAAGATGCTTTTTTTTTTTTTTTTGAATTTCCAATTTTTAATAATGGACCGTTGCTTAGGTACTAAAATATAATATAAAAATATCCTTTGAGTGCTTTATCAATGCCAGCTATTTATATGATAATGAAGTTATGTAGATGATTGGGACACATGTTCAAGTGCCATTTATTATAATGAGATTAATCAATCGACGAAAATTAATCTTATTTTAAATGATTTAATATGATTAAAGTAATAATTTTTTTTATTCGTTTTGAGGGTTAATGTGCTGAAATGAACTTATGCACTATACAATAAGATAAGTCTTTCCTTAACTCACCAAATTAACACTTTATTTTTTTTTTCTATAAAGCTATATCTTTCTAAAACTTATGAACTTGTCGAATTATTAGTAATTATTTTAAAAATTTAGGGGACTAAACGTTAATTATTAATTACTGATACTCCCTCAGTCTCTTAAAAATATGTTTAATCTTTTTTTTTTTTTTTTCAGAGAAGATCATCTTTGTAGTTTACCCCTATTAAATATGAATTTTTTATTTATAAATATACTATTATTAACACTAATCAAAATTCGAAATGAACAATTAATTTAAATATGCCCATTCTATATTCATAGATTAGAAAAATTGTAAGAGTATAATATATATGAAAAAAATCATAATAAGTCAAACTAGATTTAGTTTTATAAGATGGTTGATCTCTTAATCATTAAGTGTTACCCTAAACATAGTATTCATTAAACATGTTAAAATTAGATATTAGAACTGAAAAGTTAGTTAGTGGAAGTTGGCATTCAAGGTAATACTGCTGTTGAAGGGATGGTATTCCACATGGTTAAGGTCCTAAAGACCCTTCAAGTTCTCAATGTCTTAAAAATAACATCCAGTCCTTGGTTGCTCCCAATGTTTGAATTTCGAGGAGACTGGAGAGTCTGCTATAGACCTACAAAATTGGCTTGGAAAGGCACTCTCTAACCACCATTGGTCATTGTTTTATTTCTTATATAAATTTGGAAAATCTGAAATCACCATCCTAAATTATAATGATAGATTTCTTGCATTAATGGAAAATATTTTTGATATTTGTGAAAGTTACCAGAAAATAACGGTGTTTGTAGATTTAACATGTAATTTGGTTAAACAAAGCAAATCACGCTAATTTTAAATATTTATATGAACTCTTTTTAATAAAAAATATCAAATCACATGAATGTTTGGCCTAAAATTAGGATTAGCATCCATTGGGCAGGCAAATGCATGCATTTGCCTGAAATGTCTCGGTATAGGGTGGATTAATAGGCTGGGATCTATTAGTC